TGATATTATTTGAGAGGAAATATCTTTGAATGTCTTTAGTTTTTTGGCCAAACATTGAGTCGGGTCAAACTAATCCAGCAGTTATCTTCACATCACATCTTCACATAAATAACAGGCCAGGAAAAAACAAACAAATAATGTTCTTTAATCCTTCCCTTTTTCATTCAGATAATTATTTCTGGATAATTTTACCTCATAAAGCCTCTAAAAATTTGCTGTAAACACTTGAGGACAGGTCAGTTAAAACTACGTCTACTGATGGGTGTGATCTGTGTCTGTGTTTTTGCAGTGACGTGCGACGGGGGATGCTGGAACGGAGGCGAATGCACCGCCGTCAACGGAGTGGCCAAGTGTATCTGCCCCTCGAGCTGGACGGGCTCAAAATGCCAGGAGGGTCTGTTTATGGCCGTATCTAATTACCCTTTTAACACCACAGGTCAAAGTCACCAAATGGAGCTGGCTCTCTCAGCTGGAGCTGCTCATCATCATCATCATCATCAGCAGCAGCAGCAGCAGCAGCAGTGGCAGCTCTCTAAAAACATTTAAAATGCCTTTCCAGTTCCAAGTTGCTGTCGTGATGGGAAACATTCAGTCTGCCCTGAAGCCATTCATCTAACTTAGTGCTCATGAATAACATTTAAATTTTCGGCTTGTGGATGATGATTGAGACATTCTTGGCAGTGAATTTTAGCTCAAATCGGGCTCAGCAGAAATGTCTCTTATTCCTCAGATAAACCTTGAGAGGCACAAGAACCTTTTGTTTACCTGGTAAAGGTTTGTCCTCATATTTTTGGGCAGTAGAAGTAAAACAGACTTAACTTGGCTTTTGAGTAATGTGCCAAAAGTTTTCTACTAAGGTGCACTCCATGAGAAATTAGGGCTCCACAGAACTAAATCAATCTTAATCTTTGGTCTAGATCAGCAAGTTAACTTTGCTGATCTTCTAAATTCAAAGTATCCACACTATTGTTGTTTAGAGTTTTGCTTGTCGACCTCCCAAGAACCCAAAAATCACTGTGAATTAATGAAGACTGAGAATTGCGTTCCTTTCTGCCTACACTTTCACCTTTGAACTTAAGTTCTTTGGTTCCATCTGCAGCTACTAAGATTTAAAGAGTTCAACATTTTAGGAAATTATTTGCTTTTTTTGTGGAGAGTGAGATGAGAAGAGTGATACCTCTTGAAGTGTTGGAAACAGCTAGCCTGGCCAAGAAGTAGTCCAGCGCATAACCACTTGTCAGACTACAACTTTTCGTTTTATGCCTCCATTTTTGTACAGATTACACTAATGAGATATATGTTAAATTAGGGTGCCTAGAGTTAGTTTGTGCACTCACAGCAGCATTTACAAGCGGACCAGATCAAATGCCTTGTGTGAGAAAGCAGCTCTTGATTGGTCAGAATTTCCATGTGGGAAAAATCCAGGAAGTAAAGCAAACGTTGAAGAAGAGTACACTTGCAAGATAAATGTGTCACTTTCTAATGTCACAATGGAGGGACAACTACGCAGGTTGATTTTAGCGTTGCTCATCGTGGACTATATTGCTGTCATTGTTCATTTTAGTCTAGACTCACAAGTCTTGAGTCTTCAGACTCTTTGCTTAACTAAAGACTGATGACTTTCTCCCTGATTTTGTGTTTAGATGGGCGGATACAATTTCAGAGTTTAAAAAAAACTCCCTACGTTGCAGAACCAATAGTAAATCTGCAGGGCGGTCCTTCGGTGGCTCGCTGAACTCTTGTGCTTGTAAACATAGTCCCACTAGAAACACGTGTAGCGGTACAAAATAGCTCAGCCGTGCTCGCAGAAAACGCCATCAAAGTTAGTGGATGTTTGTCGTGTTTGTGGTGACACATTCTCGCCAACTAAAAGAAACAAACATAATGTTTTACAAGGCCATGACTCATCTGTCCGGCCGGACTATAGAGGGAATCGGCTTGTTGTTTACAAATACTTCCGGGTAGAAAACCAGCAGAGCTTTCAGCTATATATATATATATATATATATATATATATATATATATGTGTGTGTGTGTCACATTTTTTTCACATCACTGTATCGCCGTTTAGATTAATCCGATGTTTGTAAAGTCTATAAACACAATGATTGAACAAACATTACTATTTCTGTGTGCACGTTTACTTTAGCTGGGCTAACCGTTAGCTGTTAGCCCTGTTAGCCGTTAGCGGTGTCTGTAATAGGTAATAACTCATTAAACGGTCCGTGAAAAAAATATCTTGTCCAGCGGATATCTTAGTTACAACATGATTGAGCTAGCAAAGCAGTTTTGTGTTGCTATGTGTGGTATTTATTCAGATTTGGGAAATCACGATGTCTAGAAAGCATCAGTGGCTGCAGCTGACAGGGACAGCTAACAGCAGCAGCAAAGCTAACATCAGGACGTCATCTGTTAAAAGCCTCCCGTTGTCGGATACGACATGAAACTACTCCAGTTAGCTCAATCATGTTGTAACTAAGACATCCACTGGAAAAAATATTTTCTTCACAGATGAGCACACGTTTGATAAAACGGAGTTTAATCTCTCTGCATCCATTTTCAAGCTGTGTGTTTGTTTCCTTGCGGACGAGAAAAGGGGGAGCGCACATTTCCGAGAAGGCGTGTCCTTTTCAAAAATGCAAGAGGCGTTGCTTTGTTGCCGGCCGTTTTCGCCGGTGTGTTAAACACACTTTAGAAAGGAGTGTCCCCAGACTATCAGAAGGCGGAGATCTCTGATTGTCTGGTGGCGAGACTAATTTTAGTCAAACTATATAGTTTGAAAACGAGGTGCGGCTCCAACTAGAAAACAATGTTTTGATGCATTGGATGTGCTGAATGTGCATATTAAGGCAGTACAGGAGGAGGTGCACATGTATAATCCTCCAGGACTGTAACATGCTCATGTTTAACCCAAACAATGTGTCATGTGACTGCAGTTGGTTCACATCCAGGTCGGAACACGTTCTCACCACAAATGAACCGCACCAGAGTTCGTTTGAAACCAGACAAAGACCACCTCTTCAAGAAGGTCTCAGTATGGTTGTTTTGGTGTGCACCTGAGTGTGATTGCTTTGTTCACACCTGCTCAAATGAACCAAATGAACTTAATTCTGATTGTCCCGAACCAAACAGGGCAGGTGGGAAAGCACCTTTAGTGAGCTTTAGAGGTGCTGGTTACTGTAAGAAATGTTAGTGCCTTAAAATTTAGATGACTGAATTTGAGAAGCAAAGTTCAGGTCATTTTGTAATGATTCAAAACAAATAACCTTTTCTAGTCAAATAAACTTAAAAGGATTTTAGTACAACTGAATTAAAGCAGCAGTGAGTATGATTTTGGAGGATTTAGTGGCATCTAGTGGTGAGGATTGCAGATTGCAACCAGCTGAAACTTCTCCCGATTAGAATTCCTTAAGTGTTTTCACCAGGAGCTGAAATATCACCAGAGGTCTTCTGGTCTCCAGAACAAACAGACCAAGTGATTCAAACCGGTAAAAACACTGAATAAAGCAGTTTCACTTCACAAATAACGTGTTTCTCCAACGCTGTTGGGCTCATTGGAGATGGGCCACGAACCTGATAATATGTGCCCATCTTTTTTTCCGCTAATAACTTAAGATCCAGACGTTGAGGAGTTTTTTAGAGGGAGCTGAAATATCTGCAGAGGTCTCTTCCTCTCCAAAACAAACAGACCAGGTGATGTAAACTGGTAAAACACTAGTAAAACACTGAATAAATCAAGTTCACGTTTCACTGCTCGTCGCTGAGGGGCTGCCAACTGTGGTTGCTAATGCTACAACGTGAATGGCCCTATCTAGAGCCAGTGTTTGGTTTGTTTGGGCTACTGTAGAAACATGACAGTGCAACAAAGCAGAAAGTTTAAGGCAGCCCTACCAACATTTGTAAGTTAAAACAAATACTCTTTTTACAGTGAGCCAGGCTAGCTGTTTCCCTGCTTCCAGTCTTTATGCTAAGCTAAGTTAGTCAGCTGCTGGCTGACAAATATAACAAGTGTTTTGATTCTCTCACTTTACTTGCTAGACAACAATTAAGCGCATTTCTTAAAATATAAAACTATTCCTTTAACTCATCTAAATGTCTCCAGAGCATTTTTCTGCACCCAGTAAATGTTTTACACCTTCAGCTAAAGCTCAGATCTCCAAGAATGTCTTTCTTTTGTTCCCTGCGCAGCAATCTGTCCCCAAGGCTGCAGGAACGGGGGAGTCTGTGTGGCTCCAGGAATCTGCAGCTGTCCGGAGGGATGGCTGGGTGGCGCCTGCCACACTGGTGAGTTCAAACTGGTCCCAGAGACCAAACACTTCCATATGCATCACTACACTTTACAAGCACAGTTTCTTTTGTCTCTCTTCTTCCTCTCCTGCTTGTTCAGACAGATTTGTTTCGGTTGCGCTCTCCCATGATGCCTGTTAACTGTCAGAGATTGATATAAATCGGATGTATGTGTCTGCTCAGGGAAAGTTTTCAGTTCAGTGTTTTACCAGATGTTAAATGGGAACAAATCTCACCTCTGTTTCTGGATTCGTGGTGTTTGGATTTACAAGCCCTTCGCAGTCACTTAAATGTTTTTCAGGTTTAACAAATAACAAACACTTGTGTGGTTTCTTTTGTCTGCAGCTGTGTGCGCTCAGTCCTGCCTGAATGGAGGGAAGTGCATTTCACCAAACAAATGCCGCTGTCGCCCCCCTTTCTCTGGCCCTCGCTGCGAGGAGAGGAAAAAGTCACACTAGTGTGACCCTGCCGGGGTCAGAGGTCAAAGAGGCCCAATAAGGGACTTAATGCTGACGGGGACAATTCAATTTTTAAGCTGAAACTTTTGTAGTTTTTACATTTTTTATCCTGTATGTAATTCTTTTATAAGAATCCTTGAACCTGTTTGTTCTCATCTGACTGTATAAACATGTTGTGTACTGTAATTTGTCATTAAATGAGTTAAAAAGTGAAATGCAGTAATTATTGAAGCTCATTTAACCAAAACAAAAACATAGAAATAGTACATGTCTTTATTTTGTCACTTGTACCACAGTGTTATCTGGTGTTTACAGAAGTTTTTTTTTAGAAAACAAACTTATAATATAACTCCAACAGGCGGCCATGATCCAGTCAAACAATATATTAATGAAAGCGATAAAGAAAATTAAACAGATTTGTGTTAAATGGCAGCATATTTATATCAGTGTCTTGAGTCTGAAACAAGTTACTGATGTGTACCATCCAGATCAGGCGCAATTAAAAGCAGACTTATTTTCATCATAAGAAACAAACAGTGCACATCAGTTTGATAAAAGGCTATAATTTGGCTAAACTGTGACAACTCTAAAACTAAAAGCTTGCTGGTAATAACCTACATCTGATAAATGAATCATGACTAAAACTGATCCATTTGTCATTTACTTATTTTACATAATACTGAGCAGCAACACACACACATCTGTAGGAAGTCTCTCTGCTGATGCATTTAACAGATGTGTTACTGTGAGCCTTGAGGTAGTGATATACAGGGGCGGACAGACAAGTGCAATACATCAAGTCCCCCTGTTAGCCTTCAAATGTGCACACAGCCACACACATCCATCAACATCCACACACACACACACACACACACACACTCACACGCCCACGCAACAATTTATGATGCTCTCTTTTTGCTTTGTGCATTCTGTAGCTTCTTTCATCCCATTTCTCGTTTCCCATCATGCCTGTGACGCCTGTAAAGGTGCAAACATACATTTATTAAAACTTGGATTTCACATACTGCACATTTAAATATGTCCAAAGTGGTAGAACGAATATCATGTATATATTTGTGTAGCATGAGGAGCCTAAAAGAATGCTTCACCTGCAAAATGATCATTTGTATATCACTTACTCAGTGCGTGTTACCCTTAAATTTGTGAAGATAACTTTGTTTTTCTCACATGCCTCCACGCTGAACAAAGAATCCAAAAAAGGAGAACATACTTCATGAGCTAAAGTAAACAGGGACCACATTTAACAAACACAAAAAAACTGTATCAAAACCTTCATTTACAGACTCTAAACAACTCATACAGTATAATCCAAGTTTCATTTATCCAGTTGTAAGCTCAGTACTTCTCAAACACAGGCATTTACACTAAAACATTAGTGTAGCGTTCCCTTATATGTCTGGCCACGCTTGCACGTATGAGCTCCACTTGAGCAGAGTTCAAATTCATATGCGGGCCCAGGCACACTACTCATTTGCACACAAGACTGTTTTCACTGACTTGTTTTAGATCATAATGTTTTAGTGAAAATGAATGCGTTTGGGATGTACTGAGAAGACAACAAGATAAATGATGATTATACTGCATGAGTTGAGTCTGTTTTGCTGTTGTTAAACACTATTTACTTTAATTAGCTCTTCCTAATTCTCGCCCCTTTTCCTCTGTCATCTAATAACAGTTGAGCGAGATGGGAACATGGCAGAACCTCGGTCAAGTTTTCCCTTTTCTGTCATACTCAGATGTGATACGTGCTCGCTAAAAAGGTTGAAAGAAAACCGTATTTTCAAGATTGCTAAAGATGTGGCTGGTGGATTGTTTCAAACTTCACGGATGCGTTATATTGTATAGTCACATCTAAAGTTAGCTAATGTTAGCTATTCATGCATTTTCCATAACTGCTTATCCTGTTGGGGGTCACTGGTGTCCTGGAGCCTATCCCAGCTGACACTGGGCGAGAGGCAGGGTTCACACTGGGCGAGAGGCAGGGTTCACCCTGGACAGGTCACCAGACTATCACAGGGCTGACACATAGAGACAGACAACCATTCACACTCACATTCACACCTACGGACAATTTAGAGTCACCAATTAACCTGCATGTCTTTGGACTGTGGGAGGAAGCCGGAGCACCTGGAGAAAACCCACGCTGACACGGGGAGAACATGCAAACTGCACACAGAAGGCCTTCCCAGGAGCCCTCTTGATATGAAGCGACAATGCTAACCACTTCATCACCGTGCTGCCTAATGTCAGCTAAATGCTAGCTAATTAGCTAGCTAATGTATAGCTTCATCAAGATGAGTTGGCCTAATGCCAGATCAAACATCAGCCAGGTTTGCTTCTTCCTTATTTCTGTGGTAACGTTAAAGAGATTTCGAAAAGGACGGATTTGTCATTGGAATTATCGTTAGCCAGATCAAGGCTGATGTTTCTTTCTTTGTATTTTCTCTGTAAGGCTACATGCCACCCTAAAGTAACTAACAGAGCTTTCTACAGTAAAGAGAGACTAACATCAGGTCAACACCATGGTCTGTATTCAGTGATAAACACAGAGTACTTTACAGATCCCAGCAGTGCAGGAGCAAAGCTGACTCAAAGTCTTGTCATCCTCTGGCTCCTCCCTTTTCACTTGAGACCAGAAGTCTTAATTGGCAGCGTTTTGCCTTGTTTATAAAAGTTAACATTATAAATATATCTGTCCATCACATACTGCAGTCCCTGCTGTCTGCTTCATGAAGCTATGTTGCCCGGAAATGACCTAATAAATACTGCAGCACCTGGCTTAGCGAAACCCGGTACCCGGTTTCTTTTAATCAAACTTGTTCTACAGTGACTAAGTGGAGCGGGGCTCAGGATCAGTCAGCTCATCAATAGTGTTGACCTTTTTGGATTCTCCAGTCACCGTGGAGGCATGTGAGAAAAACAGTTTTCTGAGTAACTGACAAACAAGTTGTCATTTTGCAGGTTAAGTTTTCCCTCAGCCCAAATTAATGCGTCTCATGTAGTACACCCGAGTCACAGCTGGGCATCTTTTCTCTGAGAGATAAATACCTGGAGTTTGGAAAACCCAGAAGGTCATTAAACATCACTTACTACAGGTCTGAAGATATTTCAGGAACCATCTGGATGACCCTCTGGGCTGAGTATTTATCTTTTAGAGAAACTGATGCTGAGCTCTGTGACACGAACTGGGGCTGGGGGAGCTCCAGAGAGAATACAGCCTTTAACCCTGGAGTTATTAATATTCTCCCACTGAGCTGCAGAGACATGTACTGTATATAAAGTGTGACCCTGGTGCTGACCTTTACTGCGCAGGTGAGGCCCTTGTAGCCTTTCCGACAGTGGCAGTAGTCAGGAAGGACACACCTCCCTCCGTTCAGGCACCGCTGCTTACACACCGCTGAGGAGGGAATCAATATTACAGACGTAAACACTCTTTATTACACTGTTAAAAAAATAAATCAAAAGAACATGGAGTGATAAAGTATATTTGTTTAAAGTTCAGGTCTGCACAAAAAGTAAATGCAGTGTTTGCCCTGCATTGTTTTATCACGAACACACTCACGTGTCTGACACTGGAGACCCTCCCAGCCCGTGGGACAGTGACAGGTGTTTGGTCCCAAACACTCGCCGCCATTTTTACACTTTTGCAGACAGACAGCTACAGTGAGGAAATAGAGACGGAGGCATGAACACAGAAGTCTACTGAACGCTTCTGCATGATCTCTATATGATCTGTGATGTATTTGACGTGTATGAATAAAACATGGAGTCACTCACGTATGTTGCACCTCTTCCCTCTCCACCCTGACGCACAGGAGCACGTGTTGGGTCCCACACACTTGCCTTTGTTCATGCACATCGGCTCACACACACCTGGAACACATTTATTTACACATTAGATCCACATATTGACTTGTGAGTTCAGTTATTACCTTTAGATAAGACTGGGTGTAAATTTGCAGTCGATGATTCTACTCACTCTTCTGACACCTTTTCCCAGTGTAGCCCTCAGGGCAGGAGCACACATTGTTCCTCATACACTGACCTCCGTTCTTACAGGGAGGACTGCACACAGCTGAGAAACACAGCGATAAACAACTGTGAAGATATCAGGAGGCTCTGTGCACATGACTTACAGACTTGTAGACACTGACCCTTAACCTTCGAAAAGAAATACTGACATAACGTCCAACCTCCTGTGCATAATTACATCACACTCTGTAAGTCAGAGAAGCAAAAACATTTTATCAAATTAAAAAGGTGAAAAAGCTTCATATCTCTCCTCCCAACCGTCCTCTTCTTCATGGTGAGCTGGTCTATTAAGTAGGACAGAAAGCTCTAATTCTTAGCTTTAAGCTCTGAGGGGGGGAAAGGGATAAAACGAATGAGCAAAAACAAAAGAATAAATAACTACACAGACTTCTGCTCTGACCTGCTCCAGATTCAGCCCTGCGCCTCTTCGTCCTGAGGGTCCAAACAGTGATGCCCTCCAACAGCATGGAAGCTTTTTATGTTTTATCTTCTTCTTTTCTCTCACTCTGTCCTGGTTAGTACTATCTCCTCCTTTTGTTCTCTCCTCCCTCTATATTTTGTTTAGACACCTTCACACACATGTACTACAGTAAGAATATCTGTGCCAACTTTTTTAATGTGTAGGGATGCACAATATAAATCAGGCCGATAAAATATAGTCGATAAATAGCGCCGATAATATGCAGCCAGACTGCTTTCATTGACTTAACAAGGACAGCTTATACACACCCCGACACAGTGGGTGGCAATACATGTACCTTTAAACTTGGTTTACAAACTGCCAATAAAAACAAAGAAGAAGAAGAACAACAACAACTGCAGCACACTGTCTATAGGGCAAAACATGTCTGGTGTGGACGTCTTTTACAGTTCCAGAGGAAGACAGCAGGATTGCGCCAAGGTCTGATGTCTGACCGCTCGATACCGGTTGGATGCGGGCTGAAGAATTGTCTCCAGAGTGTTAGCACAAGCTAATTAGCAGCAGCGGCTTACATCCAACACCGAGCTTTTAAAAGGCTCAACTCCACAGTTAGCGATTATTTGTACTGTTACTTCTCTGGCTGCGTGTGTGTGTGTGAGACACAGCTACTTGTTTGTCTGAGCTGAGTGTTAACGTGTGTCATTTTCAGTCATTTTACTTTCACATCCTTGTATTTATTATGTTCACCTGTAGTGTAGGGTTAAATGGGGGCAGGGGCGTTGAGGGTAGGCAAATTGGCAATACCAAGGAAGATCTCCCTCTTTTTCACCGCCTGATGTTGAAAGGTATGAGGAGTCAGAGCTTGTCTTTGTGTTTGTTGTGTTAACAGTAGTGCTGTCAGTTCGATTTGGTTCAGTCAGGGTTATGGAATATTAAATTAGCCATATTTTCTCACAACATCTGCGCCTTTCTTACCCTCAGGTGTTCATAAACTACAGGTTATACACTTCCCTTAAAATACAAAAATTATCGGTTATTGTATCTGTTATCGGCCATGAGAAGCAGGTAATTATGGGTCATCTGTACCGGTTGAAAAAATCCATATTGGTGCATCCCTACTTATATGTTTATTTTATTTCATTTTTTCATTTTGGTTGTCTTTGAGTCTTGTTCCCCCTCATGTCTTGTGCTGTGTCATATGTCTTGTTTGTTTGTTTTCAAGTTGCTCACTTACAATAAAAAATGAAAAAGGAAAGAAAGCCCTTTAGTGAGGTTCGTGTACCCGACTCTGAACTCTGACCTGTTTGTGTAGAGAGGAAGTGAAGTGTGTCTGCCTGCAGGGAGCTGCGAATAATCACCATAATATTACTGAAAATAAATCCTCTGCACTGCATGTTTTTTAAAGGCAAGTATGTTGGTATCTTTGTGCTAAAAGTGCTGATAGTTCAGTCAATTTTCATACCAAATACAACAAGTATTGGATTTCCCCCAGGTGCTGCATTCTTGCCACAGATGATCAAGCGTTATTGGACACTCTTAACTAAAACCCAGACTAATGAAATTCTTCTCAGTGTTACAGCTTGGTGAGCCATATTTTATAAATGTTTAGGGAAACATGATGCTTTTCAATAGATAATTAATCCACCGGAGAAGGTTAAACTAAAAAAAAAATAACTCCAGTACAGGATGTGTTTGATGTAGCTCCATAATACCAGAGTTTAAATAAAAATCCTGTATCTCTTCAGCCCTGCTTGTTACTGTATCTAAGAGCATCATCATATAAGCGACCACCTCATAGATCCTCTCCTAGTAGCTGCAACAGTAGCTAGAAACAGGATTCAAATTCTCTGCACAGCCCGTCTGTGAGTTAGAACAGCAGAGCAGTAAAATGTGTCAGTGTGATAAATATTCATCTCAGCCTCACCGATTTGACACTGAGAGCCGTAGAAGCCGCTGGGACAGGCACAGATGTTGGGCTTCATGCATGTTCCTCCATTCAGACACACGGGGTTACAGAGAGCTGTGGAGGATACAAGCAGACACAGTTAGATGACACAGATACTGGGCACTATTTAAACCATCTATAGTGCCTGGTCTAAGGGCGTGTCCAACTCCACCAGTTAAATGATGCATAATCTGAATGCAAGTTGTATTTAGTCCCTTAACTAATTATAGGTGTGCTTTGGGTGTAACATGGATTCAACCGATCAGTGTCATCTCCCATTCTCTTTAAAAGCCAGGTGTGCCTGCACCTGCTGTACTGCTATCATGCGGCAGATTGGAGCAAGACAAATAGCAGCAAATATCGTGGAACATTTAAGCAGCAAAACTAGAAACTGTGGTTAAATAAAAAATGAAGTTGCGCTGTTCCTCGCGTGTTAATGTGCACAACGTCTCTCTCCATGGGGAGTCAAACAGCAGCTCTACTCTATGCTATGATCACATTTTAGAGAAAGTCATTAGTATTTTCCTCATCATGATGTACGAACGGAGTGTATGCCTGGTGTGAACCGGCCTATGTAGGCCCCTTTAGAGTCCGAGATTTGAATCATCTGTTGGAGACCCCCCAGTTGACTGAGATTGCTTCAAGTTGAGCAGTTTTTTTTTGTTTTTTAGCTAGTAAGTGTGCTGTGCAGTGTACTACTGGGGACGTTTTGCTCCCCAGACTTTGCTGCGGAGTGAGCGCTCTTGACTTTCTCATCTTCTCTCTTCTGCTTTGAGGTGGTGAATTTGCAGCTCACACCAACTTAATACGACAAAGCCTCTGTCTTATGTTTGATATCTAGTGTCAGACATCATGAAAGCTGCTGTCACGCTGAACGTTCCCCTGAGCCTGTTCAAACTTTAAAACTTTATATGAAGAAAAAAAACAAAAATACCCCGAACCATTGAATATTCGTATACAGCCAAATTTGATTCAACTGGCATAATTCTGAGTCACAGTCCTACATCTTTCTGAGTAGTGTGCCATTTAAATAGCAGGAAAACACTCCCCCATTATGACTTTACACCAGGGTTTTGTTGGCTAATACACCAATGATGGACCTGACCACACCTCACTTTAAGACCTACGAGCCGATAGGTGCACAGATGGGCGAAGTACATTTGCCACTTACACAACGTGAGCGCTGGCCGTGAAAATGACGACTGTGTCAGTCTGAAACTGGCAATGACAGCTGCACTGTGTGTAAGATAGTACCCAACATGTTTTTACTACAAGCTCTTTCTTTAGAATCTACGATATGCAGCAGGGCCTGTACATTTTCCTGTGATGTAAGATGTTGTGTAAGATATTATATGTGAGAAAAACATTTTATGACAATCACTTAGTAGCTGCAGTGTAGTTGTGTTGTACCTGAGTTACATGTTGGTCCGTACCAGCCGGGTGTGCATTCACAGACATCAGGAGAAACGCACTCGCCTCCATTTTCACAGTGCCTGTTACACACCACTGAAACAGATAAATTATTATTATGCACACTTATTAACGTGTCCTCAGAGCGCCTGATACAGAAACTCAAACTTCATGAGCAGAAAATCCAAGGTAAATTACATGACAGTATCACCCCACTGCTGATTTACAGATGATCAAGAGTGGTATCAATCTTCTCATCTACCTCTCGGCAAGACAGTCAGCTAATGTATCTCCTGAAATGCTGAACTACTCCTTTTAAAATCCAGCACTTGTTTCATTTCAAACTGTGTCACTGTCCCGCTACTTAATGGACCGACACTTTAATACAAACTGTAAACACATCCCAAACTGTCAGAGTACTTAAATAACATCTCACTGATTTCACATCTGGGTCCCACGTAGCCGTACGGGCAGGTACACAGGTTTCTGGCCAGACAGGTGCCTCCGTGTTGACAAGGCGGCTCGCAGCTCGCTACACAACACAGAAAAGCAAACACAAAGATTCTCATCAGTATTCTGTGTGTGAGCACTACAGACAGGTGACAATATGAGCTCAGATTACCTTCCTCACAGGTGGGCCCTCCGTAGCCCGCGGCACATTCGCACACGTTAGGTTTCACACACTTCCCCTGGTTCTTGCAGTCAGGCCGACACAGAGCTGAGATGGAGGAAGAGCAGCATTAAAATCAGATGCGGAGATAAATGAACCGAAACCTCAGAGGTGATTTAACAGTAATGTGTTGTGATGGCGTGCAGAGTATTCTGAGGTTTACTTTCTTAAATCTGTGTGAGTTATTCAGGAGTGACACGATTTACTGAATGTGTTTTCAGTACAAAAATAAACACGTCTCCCTCTCACCAATGTGACAGTTGTATCCGGTGTAGCCTTCCTTGCAGGTGCAGGTGTTGGGCAGAGTGCACTCCATGTTCCTCCCACACTGATACCTGCACACAGCTGAAACCAAATCACATGTTAACTTTATTTAGGGCATGCCACAGACTGTAACAATTAATAACCTCTTTAAGTAATTTATCCTGCAATAAAAACAGCAAACATCTGGTGGCTAGAACACTTTGGGTATTTATAACTGTTGGTTAAACAAAAATAAGCAGATTAAGGGAGTCATTTTGGTCCCAGGGGAACTTGATGAATGGGCCTCTGTTGTTAATCCTTCAGATTTTAAAGCTGAGCTACAGCGTGGGAGTTCAACAGTGGCCACAAGTGACAATTATGAGATAATGGTGAAATATAGTGAAACAAAAGCAGCTCGAAAGTTTGCTACTGGTCATCCAGACCAAGTGAAGCTGCAGCATTAATAATCCTATGTGTTTACCATCAAACAAGGGTGCGTTATATTTCTTATGAATTCAGCTTTGTATTTGCAATTATTAATTCATTCATTTTCCGTATCCGCTTATCCTGTTAGGGGTCTGGAGCCTGGAGCCTATCCCAGCTGACACTGAGCGAGAGGCAGGGTTCACCCTGGACAGGTCACCAGACTATCACAGGGCTGACACATAGAGACAGACAACCATTCACACTCACATTCACACCTACGGACAATTTAGAGTCACCAATTAACCTGCATGTCTTTGGACTGTGGGAGGAAGCTGGAGTACCTGGAGGAAACCCACACTGACATGAGGAGAACATGCAAACTCCACACAGAAGGGCTCCCCCACATTTTCCCTTAGTGACAGTATATCATTAATACAACTATTTGATATGTTTTCCCATTATTTTAAAGAATTAGTGCTGAAAATTCAAAATTACCTTTAGTTTGCCTGACACTGCCTCTTCGTTCTATATTCTGTCTGCAAGCCAACATCTCTAGTTCGATATAATCCCTAAACAGCAAGCTGTTTTTGACACTACGTACCTTTACATGTGACTCCGTCTCCGGTGTAGCCATACGGGCAGCGTCCACACTTGAAGGACCCGGTGATGGTGGGCTCACAGGGAACACCCGGGAAGCAGGGAGCGTCAGCGCAGGTCACATAGTGAGATGGTGACACCCGTTTGACCCCAGTGGTGAGGTCAGGGTTTAGCTCCACCCCACTGGGCTGACCTCTGTGGACAGTGGGAGTGAACACTCTGATGGCAGTTTGATTCTGCGGCATTGCTGTCGTTCTTCTGTCACTGGAGGAACCTCTCCTGATGCTGGAGATGGTGGCCTCTGGTCTCCTCCTGTCAGGGGGGCGTCTGGATGAAGTGGTAAACGATGACGAGGAGGAAGAGGAGGAGGTGGGAGTCATTTCCTTGTTGGAAGTTGGTTTGATGACATGGAGATGACCGTCTGCTCCACTGGCGACCGTCCCCTGACCTGTAAAACACTGGAAGTTAGAGGATAATTTACAAATCAAAACCACAAAGCACACAGCACAGTCACCATTGTCTGTTCACACGCATCAGGTTTGAATGGAAACAACTGCTTCACTCTCACCTGTTGCTGTGCACGTTCGTCCGTTTCCGTGGAGACCGGGAGGACAGGGTCCACAGACGTAACCTGCTGAGACGTGGGTGCTCTCGAAACACTGAACTCCCTGGTGACACGGCCGCCTGGAGCACGGTGACGAACCTGAAGATTTGGGCCTCAGTGATACCTGCGGGACTCTGGATGGTTGGATCACTGCTTTGCCAGGAGAGTCTTGGTTACCTTGAAGATAAAAAGGATGAAGCCGACCTTTAACTGGACAACAAAGAGTGACTTATTTATGTAAGAATGTATGAAGAAGAGATGTACGTCTTTAGAAAGGAGAGGAAACAGCCTAAGAACTATTAAAACCCAGTCAATGAGCCACACTGTTGCACTGGGTGACATGTTCCTGTATGAAAACAGTCCTCAACAAATGCTCCTCCTGTTTGTTAAAAACTACAGTGTCCAGCTGTTTCATATTTTTAAGCCTCTTTAAAAAATTAAACTATATATCTGTGAGCTGTTTTTAAAGATTTACACCGTTTTCGGTTTCATCCGAAGGAGCCAACAAGCTCGGGGCTGAGAGACAGAGGCGGCAGGGAAGTCAGGAAGTACAAAGACAGACTGACACATTGTTGGTTCAGGTCTTTTTATAGGATTTATTTAATGTAGAATATTGCCAACCTTAAGACTTACGTGTGCAGGTTTTGCCGTCACCGCTGTATCCTTGAGGACAGACTCCACAGATGAAGGAGCCCAGCGTGTTGTTACAGTCCACACCAGGGAAACAAGGCCGAGAGACGCATTCATCTATATCTTCTCTGCATGTGTGGCCTGAAAGCACCAAACGATTTTACTTTACAACTTTACAGCGTACAGTGTGTGATGCAAAATAAGGGCCTGGTCATGAGCAAATGCAGGAGAGTGACCGTCGCCCTTCCATTTTTTTTACACTCCATGCCTGTCTCCTAACTCACTGCCAGCCAGGCAGCATCTCTCACGTGGGACTGTTTGTTTATTTCAAGGCCAATATCTCAGTATCAGCTGGGTAGACATAGCAGCAATTAGTGTCTCCTCTACATCTTGGCTACCGCTTTACTGTTTGAAAGAAAACATCTCTGCAGGTTGATCCCTACCTGTCATTCCAGGTGGGCAGATACAGGAGAAGGAGTTGGGGCCGTCAATGCAGCGGCCCAGTCTGCAGGGGTTTGGTTTACAGTCGTCAATGTCCACCTCACACCTGCCACCTTTAAATCCATCCAGACACACACACAGGTACTCCCCGCTGCCGGCAGGGAGGTTCACGTTGGTCACACAGGAAGCTCCATTCAGACACTCACAGGGGTGCACAGACACCTGAAGGAGAGGGGAAACAGACAGGTTGGTAATCTGAAAACAACGACCCCTCGAGGAGGTTTATGGACAAAGCTAGTGACACATAAGGGAAAAAAAAATCTACAAATCACACTCTAGATAAATACAATATAATAACATAGAAAAATGATGAGTAAAGAAACAAATACAGAGATAAGCAAACAAGCACATTCTGCTTCATATTAAAAAATCAAAGTGACATTCACTATTGCTAGAACAGAGAATATCAAATTAATATTGTCTGTGCTCTCTGCCCAAAAAAAGCAAAGTCAAAGTTACATACTACACACAACTACTACACAGAATGTTCTGTAAACTACATAAAAAACAGTTGGTATATAAGAAACCGAAGTAATTTACCATTTTATGCACAATGACACATATCAATCAAGCTGCCACTTTAGAACTAGTATATTTACTTGAGCAAAGAAGGAACGATAAAGACTGAATCCTTAACTTCTGTCCCTGCAGCTGTCTTATTTCCTGTGTGCATTGCATTGTGGGACAAAAGTATCCATCCACACAAAACTGATTAAATTGTTGCAGATCTAGCATGCATCCTGACAGATTTTTTTGTGTAAACACACAACACACATAAAACCTCAGAAATATTTTAATATGGAGTTGTGACAGAGAGTGGTCATGAGCAGAGAACTACAAATCATTAGTGCCCTCTAGTGGGTGAACGTCTGAAAGAAGAATAGACCGAGAGCCAAATGCTGTGGTGGGCAAAAAAACAGGTTGATTCAGTTAGCCCCCATCATTGTTATCATTATTATTGTTATTATTATTTATTTATTCGATTGGGTTATTGAACTTACTTATCAACATTATTATCATTACCATTTTTTTAATTTATCTTTTTAAATTTCTCTCTCCTCTTTGCACATACATGCACACAAACACTGAATAAACTCTCACTAACAACAGCAACGAAAAATCCGTACTGTATTAAAATCTCAACTGTTTCATATGTTAATGTCTGTATATTTTGTTTACACGTTTGTGTTTTAACCTTTGTGTAAATTAGTTGCCTGTTTGTCACACTCACAGTGGATCTTTTGGACCCTTTAGCTGTCCAAAATGACTGACGCTCACCCCTCCCTCAATATACACTTCTAAATTTGGTTGAACAAGATATTTAGATCTACTGCTGCAGTAAAGCTGCTCAGAAGAGTCAGCTTCAACTTGACTGAACGCATGCATAAAAAAAAGTGTTAAAACTGATGTTTGTGATTTTAAAGTGTTACCAAAAAGAAAGTATATTAAAAATGCAGAAAAAACAGCATCCACACATTTGATGATTTGTTTAGCCCCTGAAGATATGATATCAACAAAAATATTTAACCACAGAATTAGATTTAAATGATGTTTGTTAAAATCATTTATCCCAAACATCTACACTTCTTAAACTTCACTTACATCACTGCTATCTCACCCTGACTTCACACTGTCCCACCTCACAACACATTTACTTCGCACTGGTTGTGAAACTTTAATGTAAGCAGTGTTCAGCTCACACCATGACACACAAACGAACAACAAACCCAGCTTTACCTGTATGGAGGATGCTGTCTGGGCATTACAGTCGTCTGTCACAGTAAACTGGAAAGTGTGTGTGTCTGTAGTTTCAGCTGTGGCCTTCCACATCAGCAGGCCGGCCGGAGACAGAGAGGCACCTTCAGGACCTGACTCCAAGATGAAGAGCACCGCTGAGCCCTCAGGGTCCTGAGCCTGGAGCTGGTAGATGAAGTGTTCCCCCTGGAAGGACTGGAGACGAAACAGCGACGATTGCAGCAGTGGAGGCTCGTTCTCTGATGGGAAACACAAAAGAGGGAAGAAATGAGAAACTGAACAAACATGAATGAGTCATGATGTGATGAGAGACAGAGAGATCCTAAAGTCCATTTTCCGCAGCCACCAATCTGTGTAACAAGCTGAAGACAGATTTATTTTTTACACAGGAATTCTGCCCAATAAACCTTCTGACAGAGCACAAACATTACAATGACCAGGTGGTTATTATTTTCTGATTTTGACTCATGATTAACTTGTCTGTGTTGACCAATAAGTGACATTTTGTCACTTACTGTATGTCACTGTAAATATATTTTTATGGTATTTTTGATGTTGCTTATTGTTTTTAATTGACACTATTTTGGTGGCATTTCTGCCTTTATTCAAAGGAGCCAATCAAGAGCTTACAATAAATTATGAGAGAAAGATGATGTGATGTGTACACTCCACTTTATTTAGCACCAGGTTGGACCCCTTTTGTCTTCAGAACTGTCTTAATTCTTGGTGTCATAGATTCAACAAGGTGCTGGAAACATTCCTCAGAGATTTTGGTCCATATTGACATGATGACATCACACAGTTGCTGCAGATTTGTCGGCTGCACATCCATGTTGAGAATCTCCCGTTCCAGCACATCCCAAAGGTGCTCTATTGGACTGAGATCTGGTGACTGTGGAGGCCATTGGAGTACAGTGAACTCATTGTCATGTTTGAGATGATGAGAGCTTTGTGACATGGTGCGTTATCCTGCTGGAAGTAGCCATCAGAAGATGGGTACACTGTGGTCATAAAGGGATGGACACGGTCAGCAACAATACTCAGGTAGGCTGTGGTGTTTAAACCATGCTCAGTTGGTACTAAGAAAATCTCCCCCACACCATTACACCACCAGCAGCAGCCTGAAGCGTTGATACAAGGCAGGATGGATCCATGCTTCCATCTGAATGTGGTTTTTCCAATCTTCTATTGTCAAGTTTTGGTGAGAAAACCCGTGTTAACCGTAGCCTCAGTTTCCTGTTGTTAGCTGACAGGAGTGGCACCTGGTGTGGTCTTCTGCTGCTGTAGCCCATCTGCTTCAAGGTTGGACAAGGTGTTGTTGCTTCAGAGATGGTCTTCTGCACACCTTGGTTGTAACCAGTGGGTATTTGACTTCCTGTTGCCTTTCTATCATCTTGAACCAGTCTGGCCATTCTCCTCTGACCTCTGGCATCAACAAGGCATTTTGGCTCACTGGATATTTTCTCTTTTTGGGACCATCCTCTGTAAACCCTAGAGATGGTTGTGTGTGAAAATCCCAGTAAATACTCAGACCAGCCCGTCTGGCACCAACAACCATGTCACGTTCAAAGTCACTTAAATCACCTTTCTTCATCATTCTGATGCTCAGTTTGAGCTTCAGCCGGTCATCTTGACCGTGTCTACATGCCTAAATACATTGAGGTGTACCTAATAAAGTTTTCACTCTAAAATACTGACTTCATCCTTAGAAATCCAATATAGATCCACTCTACCTTTCGATATAGAAATGAATACATGCATGAACAAATGAGCTTGACTTGTGAGAGGGTGAAATCAGTCTCCTGCTGTCTTTATCCTTCAGATCAGTGATTTAACCTCAGTTGAGTCAATGCTTCAGGTTCTGTCATTTCTTATGAACAGAGCAGAGCACCGTTTGACCTACTTTAAGTTGAAGAAGCAAAGTTGGTCGGAGAGTGTAACAATGAGGTGAGCTGTCCTCATACCAGCGCCAGGGGACTGAAGCAACTTCAATGGCTCCAATCTGCACAGAGCTGCTGACAAATTATCAAAACAGCCCTGAGCGACTGCCAGCGACAAAACTGGGACTGTTTGTGATGGCTATCCAACCTCAGCTCTACAGCTCGACTGAGGAAGAGACACGTTAGAAACTTTCTCAATCTCACATCGTCCACAGTATCGTCTCGACTTTTTCTCCAGTGCTGTTTATGTTAATATGAAGGAGCTGTGAGACAAACCAGAGGAGAAACAATGTACATACTCTCTGCTATGGACCATGTGTGTTTGGACACGTCTGGACGACATGTGAGGCAGGGGCTGCTGGGATTGGACTCCCCCTCACTGTAACACAGGCCGTCAATGTTGCAGGTTTTCTCCTGGGAAGCAAAGACAATAAATAACAATTAATAACAACAATTATGTTCAATGTTTATTCCTCGTTGAAACAATCTCTCTTGCATGACTAAAAACATGCCGCCCAACCCCGACCTGTCTCAGTGAGCTACAGAGGTTTATATAAAGCATGTGCAGAACATGGCAGCAGGAGAACAAGGACAGCTTTGGTAAAACACTATTTACTAGCTGATCAGTGGTTATACTATTATAATTTCCAGTTGTGTGATGGATGTTCACTCTCCTGCAGCAAAACATTTGCTGGAACTACAAATAATGTTTGTTAAAAAATATGACTAAATGAATAAATAAACTAGTTGGGCCATTGGCTTCTTTCGGCTGATTCAGCATGTTGAATCAGCACCAGAGACAGTGGAGCTGTCAGTGAATGAAATGACTGATTGGCAGGTCAACTCAGAGCACGAGAGGAGAAACAGAGGTGAGGAAAGCTGAGATTGAAACAAATGTGTTAAATAAGATAAGATTATTTTTTCAGCCACTGAGCTTTTTAGCGGTAACGGTTCTTAATGGTGTCATTTTTCGCTAGCGCTCAGTAAATATCCTGATGTGCTAACTACCGTCTTGAATCCATTTTGTTGGTTTTGCCGTTTCCCTTTTTAATGATAAATACCAACTACAGCCACCTGCTGGTATAGAGAGTTATTTCCTCTCACACAGCTGCAGAATGTACATACTAGTTGGCCATTGGCTGTCGTCTTTACGGTGTGTTCAGGTGCAACTTTTTGCAACATGAGCTGAGGCAACAATCGGCCTACATCACTACTAGTTCTTTGATGTCAGTTTGGCGCATCTGGGCATTAAGATTCAAATTCTGTAAAATATCAGATAAAACAAAAACTACACAGAATAAAGCTTTTAATATTTAATAGATTAAATAACTGTACTGATCATACATCAGCAGATTTTGGGTCTGAGAGTTTGGGCCAAGATGTGATGGTTAAAGGACGAAGTAAAGCAGGCTGAGAGGAAAATGTATCTTCGGAGATACTGCTACTTTTGGATCTTTGTATTAAATAATATCACTGTGAAGAGAAGTGTCTTACCCTCAGGGTGCAGAGGACTTCAGTGTTGAGGCTGCAGATCTGACAGGCTCCGTCATACAGAGTCAGTATCTTGGCGTTACTGTAGCTGTAGCCATCGTTGGATACCTGCCATCAGCAGAAGTTTGATTACTGTGGATCACTGGGAAAAAGGCATTAAACAAATAAACTGGTCTGTGGTGAGGTGAGCTGTGTCCGCTCATATTGCACCTCTCATATACAGTACAGGCCAAAAGTTTGGACACACCTTCTCATTCAATGCGTTTTCTTTATTTTCATGACTATTTACATTGTAGATTCTCACTGAAGGCATCAAAACTATGAATGAACACATGTGGAGTTATGTACTTAACAAAAAAAGGTGAAATAACTGAAAACATGTTTTCAAGAGGTAGTCACCTGAAATGGTTTCCACTTCACAGGTGTGCCTTATCAGGGTTAATTAGTGGAATTTCTTGCTTTATCAATGGGGTTGGGACCATCAGTTGTGTTGTGCAGAAGTCAGGTTAATACACAGCCGACAGCCCTATTGGACAACTGTTAAAATTCATATTATGGCAAGAACCAATCAGCTAACTAAAGAAAAACGAGTGGCCATCATTACTTTAAGAAATGAAGGTCAGTCAGTCCGGAAAATTGCAAAAACTTTAAATGTGTCCCCAAGTGGAGTCGCAAAAACCATCAAGCGCTACAACGAAACTGGCACACATGAGGACCGACCCAGGAAAGGAAGACCAAGAGTCACCTCTGCTTCTGAGGATAAGTTCATCCGAGTCACCAGCCTCAGAAATCGCAAGTTAACAGCAGTTCAGATCAGAGACCAGATGAATGCCACACAGAGTTCTAGCAGCAGACCCATCTCTAGAACAACTGTTAAGAGGAGACTGCGCGAATCAGGCCTTCATGGTCAAATAGCTGCTAGGAAACCACTGCTAAGGAGAGGCAACAAGCAGAAGAGATTTGTTTGGGCCAAGAAACACAAGGAATGGACATTAGACCAGTGGAAATCTGTGCTTTGGTCTGATGAGTCCAAATTTGAGATCTTTGGTTCCAACCGCCGTGTCTTTGTGAGACGCAGAAAAGGTGAACGGATGGATTCCACATGCCTGGTTCCCACTGTGAAGCATGGAGGAGGAGGTGTGATGGTGTGGGGGTGTTTTGCTGGTGACACTGTTGGGGATTTATTCAAAATTGAAGGCACACTGAACCAGCATGGCTACCACAGCATCCTGCAGCGACATGCCATCCCATCCGGTTTGCGTTTAGTTGGACGATCATTTATTTTTCAACAGGACAATGACCCCAAACACACCTCCAGGCTGTGTAAGGGCTATTTGACCAAGAAGGAGAGTGATGGAGTGCTGCGGCAGATGACCTGGCCTCCACAGTCACCGGACCTGAACTCAATCGAGATGGTTTGGGGTGAGCTGGACCGCAGAGTGAAGGCAAAGGGGCCAACAACTGCTAAACACCTCTGGGAACTCCTTCAAGACGGTTGGAAAACCATTTCAGGTGACTACCTCTTGAAGCTCATGGAGAGAATGCCAAGAGTGTGCAAAGCAGTAATCAGAGCAAAGGGTGGCTATTTTGAAGAAACTAGAATATAAAACATGTTTTCAGTTATTTCACCTTTTTTTCTTAAGTACATAACTCCACATGTGTTCATTCATAGTTTTGATGCCTTCAGTGAGAATCTACAATGTAAATAGTCATGAAAATAAAGAAAACGCATTGAATGAGAAGGTGTGTCCAAACTTTTGGCCTGTACTGTATTTCAATACAGTTCATCGTATAATCTTAGAGTAACGTCTCGATGCTGGAGAGGACCTCCTCAGTGATAAACGTTCTCATGTTTACCAAATCTCACTGCTGTGACAAAGTATTCCCACACTTTGTTTCATGCACTTGGCAGTTGAGTAAACCAATCAGTTTCTCCTGTTTCACACTGCTGAGTCCTGAACCACATCGAAGCTGGAGAAAACCTCCAGCTGCGCCCTGTGGACGGTTTCCACAACCACAGCCAGCAAATAAAAACCAGCAACCCTTCACATCTGTCTGCTTTTCATTACCTCAGTTCAGCTTCACTGTATTATCTTATACTAGGGGTTTCTGAGAAAATGAAATGTCTTGAAAATGATAATAGAAGTTTCATGTTAATCCCTAGTTCTGGGAAGGATTTAAGGCTGAGGATGGAGAAAAGAGATGGAGGAGAAAGAAGGCAGAAGAAGAAAGAGGCAAATATCAATAAGGACAGACTGGACAGGATTGTTTTTTCACAGCCGTTTCACCGATGTGTTTGGAGACGTGACTAACTTTGATCTGCCAGCGGGCCAGTGGTCTGCTTGTCACCGTCTCCAGGTCCAGGCCTGCAGGAGCCCGGCTGTCCTCCAGGGGGAGCTGGCACTCCAGAGCCGTCACATCCAGAAAGACAGCCAGGACAAACTGGGGCTCGTCCAGAACCCACTCCCCATCCTCAAACTTGACAAGAGACACAGAGGGAGAGCAGAGTGGGGGACAAAGCCATGAGGGGTAGGAGGTGGGAATGAAAGACACAGAGAGAACAGGGAAGGATAGGGACAAAGGATAAAGTGGGAGTAAAGGAAAGAAAAGATGAAAACAGTAGAAAATACAGACATCAGCTAGGTATGTATGTAGCCATGAAACTTGACAGTGCTTCAAATGTGGATTTTGCTGCGACTTTGCCCCCCACAGTCTGCAGTTTGTAACTTCACAGCAAAAAAACTGAAGAAAAATAGACAAAAGATTTCATTGCATGCACAGCAAAACCATCATTTAAACACGGGGAAAAAGAAGCAGAAAAACAAAGTACCTTTTCTTTAACAAACTCACACTTGAGCTCATAGGAGTCCTTGAAGCCTTGACCGTAGACCTGGACAGTGGAGCAGTCTCCCTGTCGGACGTCACACAGACCCTGCTTCTCCAACTCGGTGATCTCTGGGATCTGGTCTTCACAACACCAACAACAAAAAGTGAAGACGAGCACAGACTGTTAGACCTGAGAATGTAGTGCCCATCACAAACCACATGAATCGCAATAATCAGTATGTCATCACAGAGGTCCTGTGTAGACATCGATGTGTGCCAGTAACTGCTAAATGTATCACATAACAAAACATACCTTAAAATGTTCTTGTGATGTTTGTATGGGTCAGTTTAATGATATTCTAAGTAGTTTAGGCTTGTTCTTACTTTAACCTCCTGCTGGTGTCCTCAGCTGACATTACTGTCATTCAGAGGCTGTGGTGGGAGTTTTAAAGCCAGGGTGAAGACACTGGTATCATGAAACTACATGGCCTAAAGAATCCATTGGCACCAACCATTTCAAGCTTGATTATCAGGAAAAATAGCGCTGCAAAGTAAGGCTTCATTTTGGCAAGGGAAAAACTGGCCTGGCCACTTTCACAGGGGTCCCCTTGATTTCTTATCTCAAGATATCTGAATAAAAATGGGTTCATGGGTACCCACGAGTTTCCCCTTTATGCTAATCCCATGCAGTTGTTTGCATGCAGCATACATGTGTTGTTTTTGCCTACTGTATTTGAATATTTCTGCATACTGGGGTCGCTAAACAGTTTGGAATTACATAAACTGGGTCTGACTGGAAAGCTGAGACTCTTGTGGATTTAGTGAGCCTAATTTTATTCATGTGTGATGATGTTAGCGCCCATAGTAGCCATTTCATTGTAGTAAGACCATTTTGTTGAAATGGACACCACTGTATAATATGGCCTATTGAAGCCTTATCTGCAGTTTCCAGAACAGAAGTGCAAACAAAAATGCAATTCTTACAAGAATCTCCAAATGTCAGAAGTTTTTGATTCCAAACCATAGTGTGGATTTTTTTCATGGTGTTCCTCAAGGTCTCTGTGTCTTTATGTGGTATTTCTGAGGGATTTTTGACCATTTTTTTAATCAATTTTCAAGTGGTAAAACATGCTTAAATTTAGCTCCCAAATCTGTGTAACAAATGGTATCAAACCAAAAATTGCTGCAACATTTTATGAGTCATAATTAAGCGTTGGAATGACCGTCATATACTTCATCATAATGTTCCTATACACTCTAAACTTTGAATAGACACCTAACCAAAACACAATGTTGATTAAAGATTTATGAGTAGAGAAGCTTGACACACTGTGCTGAGCTGCATCTCAAATTAATCTTTTGGCTCCCAGCTTTAAGATCATGTGTATCACTTCTATGTGACATATTCTGTTGGTCTTCTATGTCCCCCTAAAGATTCAGTGACCCCCCCCTAAAGAAGACAAAAACTGTTCTATGTTATGGAGCGGTGGAGTAAAGGAGGTGAATGTCAGAGTTTAAGTGTTTTACAGTTTAAAAATAAACCTGTCAGTTGTGACTAGTGGACAAAATATGTGATGGAAACTCTTTAACACCTCTGCGTCTGTGTTAGTGTGTGTTTAGTATGTTACCAGACAGCACACTGCAGTCATATGACCCAAATCCTGGGAAGCAGACACAACCCCAATCCGAGCACTGGCCGTTGCCGTTGCACAGGTTGGGACACTTGAGGACAGCCACAACATCCTGGTACTCTTCTTCTCTCCTCCTCTCCTCCATCAGCCTCCTCTCACACTCATTTTCCAGCAGCGGTAAAGTTGCATTCAGCCATGACTGCTCATCCTTCAGCTGGAGGTCTGTAACACACATCGCCTCCACACGGCTCATAATCGACTTTTCTAACAGGCGGCTGCAGCCCAACGCTATGCTGGAGCCCGCTACAGTCTGCTGACACTGAGTCCTGGCCTGCTGCTCCGTCAGGCCAGAAGGTGTGGGCCACGTGAGGGAAAAGTCTGTCTGAACTGCTGCTTCGTGGTCCTCTGGGAAAAAGTAGGTGAAGCCCTCCAGATCAGACTGGCTGAGGCTCTGGTGTGGAGAGTTAGAAATGTAATGGTGGGTCTGCCGCTTGTTCATGTGCCGCTGGTGTTGAGCTGAGGTTGAAGTTCTATCCCTGGAGGAAGCGCTTCTTTCGTGCGGATGAGAGTCACTGCCTCGATCCTGGGTGTTGTGTCTGGAGTGGCCCGAAGGCAGCGTCTGTCTGTCATGTCCATCACCTTTGAGTAGTTCTACCGAGCTAATATACTCAGCTGTGACGTCCAGAGTGGGGAAGACGCTGGGGAGGTGCACGTTGCCGTGATGAGAGCAGGTGGAGTCGGAGGAGGTGACCGGTTGAGATCGGGCTCTGGGGGATGAGAGGCAGGGCTCTGCCTGACAGTTACAGTACTTGCGGGGGTTCAGTGTCATCAGGTGGGATGGCACAGTGTCAAACAGGCTGTTGCCTGGAGGGAGCCTGAAAGAGGAGAGGTGGAGATGTCAGTGAGGAGGAAACAGGGCTTGACAGGAGGGTCTCTGGCGGCCTGACATGGCCCTGGGCTCCAGTAGTCTATGGTAAGATTAAAGGTGCAAATTTTTAATAGAATCTGCTAATAATCAAATTACACACATCCAATTGACACAGTGAACCTTTTGGCACCTTTTTACCTGGGATTTGGCCCAGGTAAAAAGGTGCCTGGTTTGCCAGGTTGGTAACTAAGCCGCAACAGCTGATAAACTGCTAACCACTTTCCAGACCTCTGACTCCTTGCCCACATATCAGATTTGTTCAAGGATTCAAAAAGGTCTGGTGCTATGCTCATTGGCGGCTGTTAAAGACAATTAGAGAATCTATTGACCGATCAGAGTTTGGCAGGCAGGATTACATATCCTTTATCCAAAAAAGCAGCCTTGCTACATTCATGAAAAAGAGCAAGGAGAAATGGCAACATAGGAGAAAATAACAACTCTTGAAATAATGCCTGTAAACAATGTACAGATGTTAATGGCTCTGAGCAACCACTACCAAAACTTTGGTGTCAACAGACAGATACGACTCTAAAAACACTGACCTCCATTCAGAGATAAAAGCGTGCAGATGCTCCAGTGTGGCGCCTCCTGCTGAGTGGAAGTCATTGTCTGACTGTGCGTCGTAGGTCCCACAGAGGCCCTCAGTGTGTCTCCAGTCTGAACTGGGAGCTCTCAGCGTCAGGCTCATTCCCCAGTTAGACACGTCTGCACGGACAAACGCTCCCGACGAGAAGGTCATCTGTGAAGATTTAGGACAATCACATGAAAACAGTGAGCACGTTGACAGCTAAATTTGTCATGAGTTTGCCACGTTTTGAAACCAAGGCATCTTTTTGTGTGCAGTTTGTTAACCAGGTTTGGCAAAGTATAAATCAAAATCCCCTCCTAGTGTCTTTAAACATATAAGTGATGTCTTAGTTTTTTGTCATAGTAGGAGAAGAAGAAAGAGTGCAGTTGGAAGTGCTCCAGAACTCATTTATTCAGCCATACTGTTTATTGATTTAGAAATCTATAGACAGGTTTATGAAGTGTGACTCCTCTTTGCTCACCGTGACCTTGCGGCCCTGGTAGGACTCGGTGATGCGAATGCCGCTCTTGGTCAAGTCTCTGTTCTTCACAGACAGGTGCGGTTTGGTTTCACCCATCTCTCCATTGCACATGTCAAAAGCAATGACGTCGCCACCATCCCTCACCACGAAGCCGCACACGCACGAGGCGGAGTGCACCACGCTGCCGCATTCCCACTGACGAACGTGGACCTCAAACGGCCTCAATATGCTTTTATAGAGAATAAAGGTGCCAACTTGGTAGTTGTCATAATGCCTGTGAATATTCAATGGAAAATATTCACACAGTTGTTCGCCGCCCAGCCATTCCAAAGTAGACAGAAAAACCATCATTCACTATAGACAATTTGAAATTTCCACACATAATTAAATCTGTTTAATCCTGATTAAATATAGTGCAGTCCATGATACATATAAAGTATGTCTCCAGGTGAACTGAATAAGAAACTGAAGTACCTGCCATCAAATGTGATAATGTGAGGATCAGTGAAGACGTAGCAGTAGGATGAGGGGACGTCCTGCACTGTTATCTGAAATGACAAATCAATTCAATTCCTTCTTAAAATTAAATATTCTAGTTGCATTACATTGAAAAACAACATGGTCACACATCATAAAAGCAGTTTGACACAAGCAAAGATCATGAAAAAAATGGTATCACAAAGAAGGTTAAATAGGAACAACGAGCTAAATATATAGAGAGATATAAATCCAAACCTCCTGAATCAATAAACCATCCACATATTATATATTTACCTCAACTGGTTCTGGTGAGTACCCGTTCCAGAGAAAATTTGGTGTGACGATGGATTTAACGGAGATGTGAGTTGTCCTGTTGCCATCTTTGACAAAGTCAGTGACAGGGCTGAAGTGGATCACAGCTCGGCTACAAACCCCGTCCCTACAGGGGCCCCGGGACAGGTCCACCACACACGAGGACAGAGACAGATCTGTGCCCAATAAACCCTCATCTGGAACACAACAGGGAATGAGCTTATTTACATCATAATAAAAAAAAGCTACATTATGCAAGTAATATCTGACATACTATCCACAGCCTTTATGTTCACTGGGGAGTATGACGTCGTTATCTTGCTGCAAGTGCTCACCTTTACTGCTCGTGCTGAGCTGCAGAGACAGAGTGCACTGCTCTGCAGAGACGGAGGACTCCTCCAGACATGGGACAGGAACGGTGCTCTCAACCACCAGCTCATACAGCCTCCCGTCCTCAGACACACTGCTCACTTCCGGTCTTAGCTGCACAACAGTTATAGAGAGAAGGTTTTCGGCAAAGAGATATTTCTTGGAGGAACAAATAATGTCTCTTGGTCTCCAGTGACTAACAAGTGAGTGAAACCAGTCTTGCAGACAAGAGATAATAATCCTATTACTTATGGTTTTGTGTTAAACAGTATCTCTGCAGTCAGGTGGCCAGCTTTTCAAGGGAATTGTGAGCAGAGCAGTTAAAATTTCAATGTGTAGTAGTGTCCATTTTTGCATTTTTACATTTCTCTTTTTCTGGATAAAATAACTGACATAACTTGGAGGAAAAAACAATTTCAAGATGAACTGTAACAGGAACTTGGCAATAACTTTTTATTCTTTAATCCATGTTCTGGCAGTTACCAGCTACGCTCCTCCAAGTGGTTGCTTTTTTATTTCCCTGGTTTTGACAGACCTGTGGAAAATTGCATTTTCTTACTCTGCATCTTATGCACAGAATAATCTGAAAAAAGGTGTAAATTAGAAACCTTAATATCCATTGAGGACTTTAAAGACAGCATGAAAATATGACGGAGGTATGTGGTGGTTTTTCTTGAGATGCCACTGTGTCAAACAGCTGTTCTTCTGTTTAATTATAATTTTTGTATATCAGCTTCATATGTTGTATTTAATATGCTGTGATTTAGCTCGGCTTCTACCTCGGCCAGGTCTCTCTTGGAAAAGAAATTTGTTTATGTTAAACATACTTCCTGGTAAAATTAAGGTAAAATAAAAAATGTTGGTGGTCAACAAGATGTTATTCAAAGGTAAATTTGGGGGAAAATGCACATTTATTTTTCTTTGGTCAGAGCCAGGCTAGCTTTCCCCTCTGCTTCCAGTCTCTATGCTAAGCTAAGCTAACTGCCTCCTAGATCTAGCTCCATACACAGAAACATGAGACTGGTGTCATTCTTCTTCTCCTCTAACTCTCTGCAAGAAAGGGAATTGCTGCAATTCCCCAAATCCTGAAAACATTCCTCTTAATATATTCAGTGCTGTCACTTTTTCCTTCTGTATAAGAATGCACACGTTAAATTATCCAAATTGTCCAAAAAAAGAAGAAATATGGACATAGAAGTTTCCACCCGATGGCGATGATATTTGGGCTTCACCTTATTTACACCTTACAGTTATCTAGTTTTTTTATATTTTGCACTAGGGGTGGGTGATATGGCCCTAAAATAATATCAAGATATTTCAGGGTACTTTTAAAATAAGATATTCTTGATGATATAACTAATAAGTAAAAAAATATATATTATTTTTTTAAATTTAATTACATAGAATTACAACTGAATAAGAGATATAGTTTTACAATTTGCCTTCAAATATTCAGTAAAAACTAAACAAAAATGATCTCTCATTTCTTCAGTTTGTGAACAACAACAGTAACTCAGAGTGAGATTCAGATTCTGTTACAATATTAATAGTACAACAAAATAAAATCTACCTCAAATGACACATTTAAACAGCTCCCAAATACAAAAATGTCCCCTGGGATCTATATATATAAATCAACAGGTGATTTCCTTCTTTTAGTAAAATCCTAAATGATTGAGTTGCTTTTTTTCCACCTGGACCTTTATGCTCTGTATGATACCACAACTATCACACATTCACATATATGGAGTTTTTTGTCGAGCTGCGAGCGTCACGTAGGTTTACATTACTAAAGGCTTATGATAAAATCATGTGACGACACCGACTCCTGTGCGCACAGTGAGAGAGGAGAGGGAGAGACGCTGTGCTGCTGTCAGAAGAGCCGCTGAATGAGTTCCCTCTGAGCAGTAAGTCACTAAAAGAGTCTGAGAAGTCCGGGGCTGTTCATAAAACATTCAGGACGCCACAGTTTATTCCACACTACTGAAGCTGCTCCTCTTTTTGGAACCACCACAGAGTCGGAAAGAATTTCACTTTCAGCCATGCTTGTTGTTGCCGTGGGTAACAGTATGACGTCAATATGTCAACAAGTCAAAATATCGTGATTATCACGATATGAACGTTTCATATGATATTATATTATTAAATAATTGGGTATAATTGGGAACATGATGATATGGCACACCCCTATTTTGCACATACTGTTATGTTTTTTTAGTATTTTGTATATTTGCAGCCTTTGATTTGCACTCTTCCAACTCTGTACTGCAACAGATGCTCAGCAGTTTCCATCAGGATAACAGAAGATTTATTTTATCTAAAAACCTGCACACAGAACCAAACAGACATGCCTGCAAAAACCTGCAATTGCACAAATAAATGCTCTCTCTTTGCTTCACAAAATTTAGCCATGGTCACACACACACATACAGAGTTATAAAACTACTATGATATACCATAATTCCAGCAAAGAACTCCTGACTCTCCACTGATGCACCGCGGATGTCAGGCGAGTCCAAGAAGAAACTGGAGCTTGAGCAGTAAATCTGTGAGAGGAGGGAAAGAAAGAACTTTGTAGTCTTTTTTTCAATCTGAATTATTATGCCGACACTGTAAAGACAGACAGAAAGAACAGAAGGAGCCACACAGGGAAAAAAAATCCCATCTGTATAAAAGGTTTTTCAGTTAAGGCTGGGTCACACACATGACCGGCGCACAGTAAAACAAAAAGACATGCTGACAGGTTTCAGTAACAGCTTCAGTCACAGTATCTGTGATTTACACAGTCAGACCTTGTCCCCCAGACGGAGGTTGAAGCCATCCAGCTCGATGAAGGCGGAGGTCTGGATGGTGGTCTCCTGTTTGAGCTCCTCCTTCCTGCCCTCAGGTGAGAGGCGGGACCAGGCCACCACGTAACCCAGGGAGCTGTTGGAGCTGCTCCCGAAGCTGCACTTCAAGTAGACGGAGTTTCCTGTCACCTCTGAGACGATCACTGGTGCAGATGGAGTGGGAGGCTGCTTTGCTGATGGCAGAGAAGCAGAAGGAGATGAGAGGAGGCTAACATGTGTTTTAGATTAGATGATATTTATGCTATTTTTTCCTCTGCACATTGGAAGTGTAACAACAACAACAGAAGTGAAGAAGAAATGAAGAAATCAAGGTCATATATGTTGTAGAGTAAATGTACACCACTGTCTAATGTCAAAGTGGAATTGAATCTACAGTCACTGCAATTTCACCTCCCCAAACAAGTTTGTTCACCCACAGGCTCCATTTCCGATCTCACTAATGGTTTAATATACATCAAAGCATATGGCCAAAAGTATGTAGACACCCTGCTCCATACACCCAGTACTGATCTGGAGCTGTTTTTCTGGTTTATGCTAAGACCCTTAATTTCAATTAAGGGAAATCGTACTGTAAGCTTCAAGTGTGCTAACAGGATCATTTCTTTACTGTAGTGTCAGTATGCTGTGTCACTAACCTTTTCTTTTTTACCTCTACCATCAAATTAACAACCTTAAACTCATCATTTACTAACATTTGGCTGGAGACTGATGCTGATTTCCATCCCAGTGGATTTACCACAAGAGAGCCCCATTCTGGGAAAGTAATACAAATTTGAAATTGTCTTAGTCATGACTGACAAATGCAGTAAATGATTATGCAGAGGAATGTAGGTTAAGCTGAGGAACATGAATTCATGAATATAAGCAGTCTAAATATTCAGCTGGGCCTGCTCTGCGAATTTTAAGTAGAAAAGTGAGTTTGGGAATCAAACCAACCTGGATTCTATTATTTAAAAAAGTCAATCAACATATTCAGTGTTATTTCATCTATCACTGATTAAACCTCCCTCCTCCTCTTTTCCACCTCTGCCAGCTTCCTAAAAACCTGCCTCTGCGTAATTCACGACCTGGCTGAGGGCCGTCGCCATGGAGACGAGGCCCAGCGGACGCCGGGACACATGCTCAGCTCATTAAGAGGAGCGGTGAGGGGGCTGACGGTGCATTCCTGACCACATGGCAACTCCCTGACCTCCCGATTGTTTTGGTGTTTGACCTAACATGAGGAGACAAGCGTACGCTGTAAACACGGCAGCAGGATCCTCACTTTTACATGTTCCATTGACGTTCACCTCATCAGGACCGCAGCTCAGGGACGCTGTGGGTGCAGCGTCTGACATCTCTGTTCAGACAGACAGAGGAGAAACAAAGGCACTCAACTGAAAATCAACATTAATGAACATAATAGATGAAACAAGTTGGCAGAGAAGAGACTGTGAGTTTGTTTCTAAGATATGCTCTGAGAAACAGTTTAGTTTACTGTTAAAAAGTGTAGATGTATCCTTGAAAGGATGGGCAGCTTCGCACTAATGACCCTGTTGCAGTCTTGTACTGAAAATCAACATGTAAGCATATTGCCTTCTTCAGGATAATGCTGTAACCTGCCTCTATCTGGGCACTATGGCCTAGTCCCACTCTACACTTTGACAAACTGACAGACTTTGAGGCGTGTTCCTGCAAAATGCATGAGGCCTTAGGGCTGTCCCATTATCAAACTGTCAAGTATATGAGGGCTCACCTACAGACATTTTGAGCCCTTTATGCACACTTTGTGTAAGTCCACATTTCTGCAAACTTCACCTGAGGGAATTACCCACAGTTCAAAGCACTGTGACGCTGAAGCCGCAACTTTTGATAAAGGTAAAATGTGTCACAACACAGCGTTATAAATGAAGCATTGTGGTGCTACAGAGACGCCCCGGCCAACAAATCATATTCCAGACATAAGGGGGCATATTTGATTGGTATAGACACCAGCAAAAATCACATCATCATCATTTTTATATGTTTTTTAGTTAAAATGATATGCAAAAATTACCATTCCCACTAAAATCATGGCTCATATCACAATCGCAACACCTGTCAAAATAAGTGCAATATCATTTGCTGAGAAGATGGTCTTCTAAAAAAACCTGGGCTGTGTACACAGTAGACACACACAAATACTTTTCCATTTTGTGCTACATGACCAGACAAAACAGAGAAAAGGGGCTACGGCATTCGCTTTTGCTCAAGAGGTAGAAAACATAAAACTACCAGAATGCACTGCACTGTCCCGGACCAATAAACACCCCCACTGGTAGGTGAAGGAATGCAAGCTTCCCGTTTGGAAACAATATGGCAGCCAGCTGGTAACAAACAGTCTTTTATTACCGCTAAACTGTTACCTTAAATATGTTTCTGGAGACATACAAGGTGGGAAATAGACAATGCAGTTACAGAATCTTGATTTAAATTTGATCAGCACTGCTCAGTTTTACAGGTTGATCTGAATTTGGTCTGAGTTCGGTACTCCTTGTGTCTCCATTCGAAAATGCTGACGTACAATCTGTAGTTGGAGCAACAGCCCTAGAGCCAGCGTCATCTGCCAAATCAAGGCTGAGAGATGAGCAGGGAGATCTGGGTGCTGGTTAGATGGAGGAAAGTTTACCATAGCAAATCAGCAAAGTTTCCCTTTGACATCATGTTGATTAGAAAATCTTTTCAACCACAAGCTTAAAACTTCAGCTGCTTCTCTCATTTTTCCATTTGCATGATATAATTATGTGGAAGTTATTACAAACATGGCTCTTTCTGCTCTGACATACCCTGAGCGCAGTATCCCATGCATCCCTGCGTAGGCTGGAGCAGGTAAACATAGAAGTCTCCACAGTTGCGGACGCTGACTGGGATGCGGAACATGCAGCAGTCTTTGCTGACGCCCGGGTAGAGCTGCCAGGCAGCGCAGGCTGTCAGCTGTCTGACCTCCAGAGGCCCCGGCAGGGTCTCACCCTCAGCCAGAGACAGCCACACAGGAGCCTGAGTCCCACAGTGGTTCACCTGGATGTTTGGACAGAGACAGAGAGGAGGACATTAGGGCACACACTTCTGAGGGCAATTACTTTGCTGTATAAAGGTACTGACATGTTGGGATAATATAATAATAAAGAGACAAATAAATACTGTAGTGCTGTTGTATTTCCAGCTTTGTACCAATGATGTCACCAACAAACATTAACTCTTTAAGCTAAAATAGCATAAATCTGAAAACGCTACTTTTTAACACTATTGTTGCAGTTTATTCCCCTTTAAAAAAAATCCTTGGCTTGACAAATCTGGCCATTTATCTGCCATCATCATAAAGACATCGCCTTATTATGTAACACATGTTCACAGCAGTCCTCTCTTCCTTCCTCCGCCCACTCCTGTGGATATCCATCACCCAGGGAGAGCAGCGATGCCCTGGGAAGGCAGAGGGAGGCTGACACTTCAGATGGATCCTGCAGGCTCCTCACAGCAGGCCGCCCGCAGGAAATGAGACACATTCCAGCTCTCCTTGCACTCTCCTTCATAAATATGTACTCACACACACATACTGATGACTGTGTGTGTCCATAAGTGCATATGTATTCATGCTCACACACTATGACACAAAGACAAACACTCAGGTGGGGACAGGTCCTCCACATGAGGTCACAGATGGGCTCCTGAGAGAACTCAGAGACTGATGTTTGTAATTAAAAAAGCTAAATTGAACATTTGGAACACATCAACATGTCTTCACTGCATGCTTCTGAAAAATGAGAACACAAAATTGACTGACATGATAAAATGAAAATGTGGGGGTCATGAGAATTTCACCACCTTCAGCTGAGGTCACAACAGGTTAAGAAACACTGATATCTGATTTGACTGACTTGGAATATTTGTACAGTAATTGCAGATTTTGTTACTGTGACTTCCAAAGTTAAATTTTGTGCCGTACTTGACAATTTTTCCACCAAATATGTTACCACAGAGAGTCTATCCAGATTACTTTTACTTTGCAAGTCAGAAAAATCTCTTTCAACCACTGGTAAGGAAATTGTTTGCATCATTTAAAGGGACAGTTCACCCCAAAATCAGGAATATATATTTTCCCTCTTACCTGTAGTGCTACATATTAATCTAGATTGTTTTAGTTTGAGCTGCAAAGTGTTTCCAAAAAATAAATTTAAAAACTAAATTGCAATGTCTCTTTCCAGAAATCATGACTTGGTTTCTCAACATAATCCACAGACCTTGTTTCAAGTTTCATGTAGGAACTATTTTTCTTTCTACCGAACTACTCCCATCATCGGAATCACTGCACAGAAGGAAATGTGCATCTACGAGGCTTGTGACAGCGTAAGATGTAAACATTAATGACGTCGTCCTCAACTGATTTGTAATATTACAGTAGGGCGGCTGTGTCTCAGGAGGTAAAGCGGGTTGTCCACTAATTGGAAGATCAGCAGTTCGATCCCCGTTTCCTCCAGTTCGCATGTCAAAGTATCCGTGAGCAAGATACTGAACCCCATATTGCTCCCAATGGCTGTTCCATTGATGTGTGAGTGTGTTAAAAACTGAGTAGCAGGTGGCACCTTGTATGGTAGCTTCGGCCACCAGTGAATGGATGAATGTGGCTCATAGTGTAAAAAGCGCTTTCAGATGCGCTGGCCAGATGACTGCAAAGGCACTATACAAGTGTAGGTCCATTTAAGATTAGCTAGATCAGTGGTGCTAGGTCAGCAGCACAGAAGATCTAAACAATCAGCACAGGTTCAGGGTGGACACCCAAGACTAGTGTCACCAATTCAGTATCTGACCAAACGTCTACCCTTCTGTTTGTGAGTTAAGACGTTGAGTAATGTCAGATAAGTGTTTTTGTAGAACGTTATGATGTCACTGTAAAGTTGACCTTTGACCTTTTGGATACTAAATGGTATAACTTCATTTTATCCTATTGTCAGAATTAGCCAATTAATTCTTGAAGTATGACCAAAAACATGTTTTGTGAGGTCACAGTGACCTTGACCTTTGACCGCAAAAGTCTAATCAGATTATCCTTGACTCAAAGTGGATGTTTGTGCCAAATTTTAAAAAGATTTCTTTAAGGTTTTCTTAAAATATCGTGTTCACAAGAACAGCACTTCATTATTGGGTCGAAGTGGAAGTTTGTGCCAAATCTGAAGAAATTCCCTTGAAGCGTTTTTGAGCTATCGTGTCAAGAGAATGGATCGGATGGACGGACAAACTACCCAAAACATAATGTCTCTGGCCACCGCTGTCATCGGCGTGGAGGCGTAAATACACTGGAATTTAAGGCACGTGAGCCACAACGTAGGCATCACAAAATATTTCTGATATTTTATATAACGTATGACAGAGATACACAACACATTTACCTCCACACACTGGGTGGGCATGCTGGCCAGCTTGTCGAAGATCTGAAACTGGTACCAGCCTGGAGTGAGGGAGTGGTCGCAGATGAAGTCCTGCAGGGCCGACTGCTGCAGCCAGCTGGAGCTGAAGGTGGTGCTGCGATAGGGGTCCTGGAGGACGGAGTGGCCGCCCGGCGTACACTCTGGAGGGAGCACTGCAAGTCCAGCCAGACAGACAACATAAGTACTGGATGTACACCAAGACTGTCAATGCTAATGATCGAACATATGGGAAGCTTTCTGCAGACAAGTACTGAATTGTGGACGTGCTCCGTCCAGCTGGTCCAAATTCAAGATTACAAATTGATTTCAAAGCTGATAAAAAGGTCTGGTGCTGCTCAGTGTTGACGTTTGTACACAGACCATGAAATGTACTGACATGAGAGAGTGAGTGCATGATTATATCATTCAGGCTATGAATGCATTTACTGAATTAGACTAAAATACTTTTGCAAAGCAAAAACTGAGTGGTTACAGGAAAGAAAATGATGAAAACACAGGGGTAGAGCTAAACATAACACAAGCAACACAAGCAAACATCACAAAGACAGGAAATATTGAAATGCATGACTTGTTCTCTCAGTTTTAACAAAAAGCCTGTAATAGCAATGAACAACACAGACTATGGGCACAGTATATGTGGAAATAAACCTTTCATCAGGAGCTAGTAGAGGTGTCAGGAAAAAACAGCTGATTCAGAAGAGCTCTCTTGCATTAATTAGACTAACGGTGTCACAGGCTTTAAATCTTTTTAAGACTAAACATCAACACATTTCAACACCCAATGCTCTTAATGATATATTAAAAACTTGAATTCCTTAGAAGCCTGTTCAAAGAGGTAGGACATCCCGGTATTTACTTTAACCAAATATTTGTTTTTGTCCACCTACTGAAGATACAGGTCAGGGATGCGGATGGATTATGTATTGGGCGCACCAGGCACAGGCCTGCTTGTCCCCCAGGCCAGAGCCTCGGTTGACTGTCACTGTTAAATGAATGGATGAAACAGGCCAAGCTAGGATGAGGGGCATGGGGTTCTGTGACGTGACAGTGAAGTAAGCAGGGACTTCTGGCACACCTGCACTGATTTCAAAGATGCATGGAGAAGGGGAAAAGTCTGCAGAGGTTAATGCTACAACAACACTTGTAAGGGAAGCACGATAGAGGATTTGTGAAGATATTTTCCAGTTAATTTTGACTGAATGCCGTAACGGTAAACGGACATCTTTGTCCAACTAACTGCAGAGAATATCATGTCTCTCCTGTAGTGGTATTAACATATTAGTATGCCTACTCTTATCTGGATTGCCCGGTAGCAGATGAACAAATAAAATACAATGCTCTTCAAAATGTACACATTCACTGGGCAAAATAAGACAACTACTTTAACTTAGGTTACATGTAAAACATGCCATATTTATTTTGATGTACCATTTTCAAACAAAACTGTAAATTTATCCTACTTTAACAGGCTTGGATGATGCCCTGCCTGAATCAGTCCTGACAGTAGCCACAGCCAGGGCTAACCGAGGGTTTAACCTATTTTGATTAATTAATGTTGCATAACTTAAAGGCCATCTTTTTGGCCTGTTGTATCGACAGATTTTTGCTTTCTGGGCTGATGCCAATATTTCATCTAGAAGATTTAATCTGCCGATAATGATGTGCCAATATTATTGTGCATTGTAGTATACCATCCCTTACTGTAAGTCTGTCTGGCCGACCATAAGATATATCTATCTCATCTATCTCCTGAAAACCATCATCTTGTTGTGATGATGTTCCTGTGCCATCATCTCATGCCACAAGTCTCCTCTTGGCTCCACCGGAAGAACATTCAACACAACAGTGTCTTAAAGAAAGCCAAATCTCCACAATATTTTTAAATGATGGAAAACCTGGAGCAGGTCCAGGAAAAGTCAGTCTGGGTCTTAATACTAAGGATAGGTGACAACAGGTTGGCTCCTTTTAGAGAGACACCTGTCCTGACTGGTGATGACTATCATGACTGTGCAAAAGGCCATTCAGTCTATGAAGCTAGTGGTACACATAATAGCTACCAGGATTGGGAAATTAAAGATGGATCTTATTTTAAACTCAAAATCGGGAAGTGAACACAGGTGACTTAAGAGGTCAAAAATTAGAGAAAGGCTTAAGGTTTATGGGGTGTGACCATAGAAGTTAAAACACAGCCATAAAAATGCACATTTGCTAAACTGAGATCAAAGAGAAAGAAAAAGATCCAAGCTGTAACCACAAATTACCGGCCAGCTTCTGTGCACTGCAGCACAGTTTTCCCTGACCTCAAAGGTCAAGTGAAAGGTGAGAGGAGTCTGCCACAGTGGTGACAGGCAGACGAGCCATTGACGGAGACGACAGGAGCTGTCAAAGCTGCCAATAGACATCCTTCATTCTCAACACCTGGTCACTTCAGTCCTGATACTGGCATTAAGTCATGAATTACTCTGACAGATGTCTACTTCTGTATTAGACGTCATAGACAGGCATGTAATCTGCAGTTTACCGGTTTTAACCACTACAAATGAATCACCTCCCCTTCTCTTTAGCCTCTGAACTATCACCAGACCCTTCAAACATCAGCACAAGAAAATCTAATGATGGAGGAGACTGGAGCTGGAGCCAAACCTAACAGCATTATTATTAATGGGTTTTCCCAGCAGGATGTGACTGCTGATGTTTAAGATATGGTTTCACATGAGCTGAAACATAAAGGGAGGAAGTACTTGGTATTCATAGGACTGTGGTAGAGATCTCTTGGAAACATCAGTCCTTTTGCTTTGGATAAGCATGCTAATAAAATGGGTACATGTCAGTTTGAGGTTGAAAGTGAACTGAAAGCAGGAGAGCGACTACTTCTTCAAAATCCTGAGTGTATTCCACAAAATGTCTTAATGGGAGACATCCTGTTTAAAGCTTTGCTGGAGTGGAAGAAGTCCTAAAACTGCTACAGAGAAAGGAGAGGTCAGCAGGTTAAAGGTTAAAGGAGGACTCCTAAACAAATAGGTGTGTTTTGGGATCATTAAAACAACCAATAAAATAAAAATAAAACCTTCAAACTTTTGCAGAGGAAGATGTGAAGGCAACCTCCGAACATGAAACTGCAGTGTTTTGTTATGACCACATGAGTCATTTCTATGTGTCAATCTGAGAACAAACAGTGGCTACAACAATCAGTGAGAGAGGGCCACATCTTTATGATGAAATCTTATTGAAATGTCTGAATTAACACGGGGCCCTGGAGAAGTGGGAATTGGGATATCATGTTCCTTTGCTAGCAGAGGAATGGCAACAAGTGTAGATGAGATTGATGCAGCTGCACACATTGTGAGTCAAATTAGGGAATATAAACATATCACTGTGAAAAACAAATAAAAATCCTGCTCATAGGAATCACTACTGCAGCTTCCATGTCAACCAAAATGTCACTAGGAAAAAAAGTGGCTAGCTACTGATGGGTTAAAGCAAAAAGAAACGTAAAAACCCCTCTCAACAAGAAATTTGTTAACATGGACACAATGTCAGACTGAATGAATGAATGAAGCTGAAGAAGCAAAACCAAAGAAGTTTGACTGTCGTTAATGCTTGGTTAGATTTAGGCACAAAAACCACTTAGTTATGGTTAGGAAAAGATCATGTTTTGGCTTAAAATACCCGGGTTTGGGGGCACAACCACAGTGGGAAAGGCAGAGACGTCTGCATAAAAAATCAACCACTTTTGTGGTACTATCCCGGCAGCAAACATAGTGATGTCTCGGTAAAAAACAACCACTTTACGTGGCATTATCACAGCAAGACATGCAGCAATATCTCAGCAAAAATCCACCGCTTCTTGTGCCAGTTCCGGCAGGAAGTGCAGCGTTTTCTCAGTATTAAAACAACTGCTTTTTGTGCCACTATCCCTGCAGGAAATATGGCGATGTCTGAGTAAAAAAAACAACTGCTTTTTGTGCCACTATCTCAGCAGCAAACACTGCAATGTCTTGGTAAAAAAAAAAAAAACTGCTTTTTTTGCCACTGTTCCTGCTGGAAAAACAGTGACAAGCCCCTAAAAAACACCCACACCGTTTGTCATTTGTTCAACTCAAACAGCGGTCTGCAGTGTACGTCACTTTAGAAACATTCATATGATACGTACAAAATATAAAAATGTAATGTATTTGTGGTTTGCAGAAATGTACAATGTCAACATTTTTTTCTAACAACTGCACAAGGCTACCAAGGGGTCGAACTTAGGGAAACATGTTGTTTTTAGGTTAAGATCAGGACGTGAACACAGGTGACTACTAAAGAGGTCAAAAGACAGAGGATTAAGGTTCATGGAGTGTGACCATAGGCGTTAAAACATCACTTTATATTGTGTGCCCATAAAAGTTAAAACGTGACTTTATAGTGTGTGACCATAGAAGTTTAAACACAGCCATAAAAGCACATGACCACCAAAGTGAGATCAGAGAGGAGGAAAAAGATCCAAGCTGTAACCAAGAATTACCGGCCAGCTTCTGTGCACTGCAGCACAGTTTTCTGGCCCTGACCTGAGAGGTCAAGTGAAAGGTGATAGGAGTCTGCTGCAGTGGTGACAGGCAGACAAGCCACTGACAGAGACGACAGGAGCTGTCAAAGCTGCCAATAGACATCCTTCATTCTCAACACCTGGTCACTTCAGTCCTGATCAGCTGGACTGAAGCTCTCTGAGAGTCCACATACTGTCTGCCTGTCAGGAGAGCCAACAGCCCATGTGGACGAAAAGATGAGAGCTGCCTTGTCTGTGTTTCTCCATTACAGCACAATACATTACACTGTTACCATGAGACATGGAGGTATGTGGCCTCGGATGACAGTTACATGATGGATGAGACGGTGTCAGCTTCTTTTTGGCAGAGACAAAAACCTACCAGAGGAACATGAGGAGCTCTTTGGTTCACAGTGATTAAATGTCATGTTTAGTCCCATTTTTGATTTGTTAATTGTTACTTTTCTTTCTGAGGAAAACTTCCGTGAAGAGTTTAACAAGATGTTGGTCCAAAACAGCGCGTGCGTAACTCCTCTGCCGCATTTAAACAGACAAACTCAGAGATGGTGAATGACTCAGAGGGGTGATCTTACCTGTTTGTGCGTGCATTGCGTTGGGAAGCAAAAACACAACGCACGGAAGAAGTTTAAAAACTGTTTCAAGTCTCATCGTCCTGCAGCGCCCAGCGCGCGACTTTGCAACCAAACAGCGCGAGCCCCGAACCCGAGCACTGGCACCGTGTTACCGAAAGTCCTCTCTGTCTGCTCGGAGCAACAGGAGCGCAGCCGTCGTTTCCGTTATCCGACCCGAAACAAGTGAAGCGGGGGGAACTCCGGAGGTTTGTTTAGGTTTGTTGGAGTCACTCGAGGCTGCAGTGATCGCAGAGGCTGTCGGCTGATCCGAGACGCCGGACTGCAGCGGCTGACCACAGACTGCTGCTGCACGCTGCAGCATCACAGGGTGTTAGGAGGGGCATCAGCGGTACACCTTCTCAACACCTCTGCACACAGCCGACACTGAGCTGCACGAGGATTAGAAAAGATTCAATGCTAATCCTAAAAGATGAAAATGTTTACTAAGAAGAGGGGTGCAACAATTATTTATACAATCGATGAATCGATTAGTTGTTTGATCTCTAAAACATTAGAAAACAGTCAGAAATGATCATCATATGTTGCTACTGGTGGAAGTAACTAAGTACATTTACAGCACTGTACTTAAGTACAATTTTAATACAAATGTACTTAGGTATTTCCTTAAGTAACTTAGCAAAGATCAGAAATACAAATTGTTTATTTAAACCAGTATGAACACTACATGTATAAAAATTAGGCCTCAGGTAAAATATCAATTATGAAACATTCATTTGATCTAGCACCGACAGGCAGTGCGACAAAAAGAGAGTGTGAGTTACGACTAGAGTTGTACCAACACCGATACCAGTATCGGAAATGCCTCAATACTGCCTAATATGCAGTATCGGGTATCGGCGAGTACAGCCTATGACCAATCCGATACCACGCAATGCCTCACGTCATTACTCGTACGCATGCTACAGGCAAACGAAATGGAAACGGAGCGAGTTTATAAAGCATTCTACTGTAGCCTTTAAAATGTCTTTTTTTACCAAATTGTGTGGCTGCACTTTAACCTGTGTCTTGACCTGTGTCAGCACTGGATAATAATAATATAAAAAGTTTTATGGCATTCATTCTACTATTATGTATTTATTTCTTAATATTTTACATAGAGTTTTAGGAGCTGAGACATACAACAATTCATATCCCATCCATTTTTATTTTAGGCACTGGTATCGGATCGGTACTCGGTATCGGCAGATACCTAAGGTTCAGGGATCGGAATCGGTATCGGGAAGGAAAAAGTGGTAGCGGTACATCTCTAGCTACGGCACTTGAAGATTACGGCACTCGGCATAACGACGCAACACCACTTTATCATGTTAAAACAATATTCATAACTTGGATACATTTTGATGAAAAACCCTTTTGATTCTTTTGTTCTGAGGACCCTTATGGACAAGAGGAATATGCATAACTTACAGGGTTATCGAAGAATGTACACATAATTTGAGGTAATGAACAACCCGCTTTTATACATCTGAAGAACTTAAAAAGACAGGCTTTTATTTGTCAAAATGTGTAGCAACGTCAGGTTAGTAAAAAGGACTGGGCATTTAACTGGGACAAGACTTTTAATCAAAGTTTAAAGTATATTCTGTAATAACCCTTTGAATAAAGCCATTCTGTGTAATGAGTACTTTTACTTTTAACACTTTATTCAATTCAATTCAATTCAATT